AAACGCCAGACCTACGTGGCCAAACTCCCCGGGGGAAAGAGGACGAGGACGGATGCGGATAAGGAGCGCGCGCGAGAGTACGAGAAGACCCCGGCCAGGAAGGCGTCCAAGCTGGCCCGCAAGGAGGCGAACCCGGAGAGGTGGGCGCAGTACAGCAAGGACTCTCGCGCACGCCGCCGGGCGGCTGACCCCGAGGGGTACCTGGCGAAGGCGGCGGCAGACCAGAAGCGCTTCCGCAACCGCACGAGGCAGATCAGCTTCGAGGGGGAGGAGGGAAGCATGGAGCAGACGACCGCCGCTCAGATCATCGAGGAGATGGACGCGTGCTGCTTCTTCTGCGGAGAGGCAGAGACCAACAGCCAGCCCCTCGGGATCGCAAGGCTGGACCAAAAGGCGGAGTGGACCAAGGACAACTGCGTCCCGTCGTGTTCGACATGCTGCAACATGCGGCGCATGGTAGACGCGAAGACGTTCGTGAAGCGCTGCGTCTTCCTCAGTGAGGTTATGGAAGGTGGCGCGCCGGAGGAATTCCCTGCTGAGCTTTTTGGCAAGTTCCCGCGCGCCGGGCAGTACGCGGTCTATGTGGGTACTGCCGACAAAAAGAAGGTTCCTTTCGAACTTACACGGGAGGAGTTTGACAAAAAAGTGCAGGAGGAGTGCTACATATGTGGCAGAGTGAACGGCATCGGGCACCATAACGGTGTGGATCGCATCGACAGCGGCCTTGGCTATACTGCAAGCAACACGAGAGCAGCATGCGGGGACTGCAACTACATGAAGGGTTCCATGTCCCTGGCAAGCATGAACGACAAGATCCGGGAGATCGCAAGCAGGGCTAGCATCACGTTGGCATACATCCCGGATAACCTGCCCCGTAGCACATTTCACATGCTGGGGTAGACAAACCTCATTGCTTCGAGGTTTTGGGGTCAAATGTAGGGTAGTGCGAATATGCTTGAGGTTTTGCAGGCGACTGTAGGGTGTTGGAAAGTTGCAGGTGATTAGAATAGGCCAGGGATCACTTGCCAAACCAGATGTAAATACTCGTCCGTGCAGAAGCTTTGTATACCCAGATTCAGAGAGTGCTAGGATGATTCAGAAACCACGGCTCTTTCAAATGAGACTTGCTTTTTGTTAGTGCTTTACACCTTTGACAGCAGAAGCTGGCCACATCCTGCTCCGTTGCGTTTTTTAAAAGCTCAAAGTTTGTGATGAGACAAACAAGCATGTGCGGTATCTGGGCATATTTGCGACCATGTGACATGAGCATGCTGAAGCCATTTTTCGAGGAACTGGCACACCGTGGCCCAGACGGCTCGTCCCTGATAGTCCACAAGAGTTCAGGAGTTACACTCGGTTTCCATAGATTAGCAGTCATCAACATTGCTCCGAATGGCATGCAGCCCTTTTCAAGCTTTGGTGTTACGTCAATCTGCAACGGTGAGATATACAACTTTAAGGATCTCTACACTAGCAGTGATGATTTGAGAAGCGACGTTGAAGTCATAAACCCCATCTTGACGACTCAAGGGAGTCTGCCAGAACGACTACGGCAACTTGATGGCGATTTCGCTTTCTTTGCAATCGTCGAAGAGACATGCAACTTCGTTGCGGCTAGAGATCCGGTTGGCGTTCGCCCCCTGTTCTATGGACGTGATGAGAGCCGTAGTGTGATTGCATTTGCAAGCGAAGCTAAAGCACTCGTGGCGATACATGAAGTGCAGACGGTAGAGGTGTTCCCTCCCAGACATTACTGGACCATGTCGGAGGGATTCCACTCGTTTACAGACATCTATGGGTATTTGAGAGCTCCGCAAATTGCCAACATGCATGAAGAGATCCGCTTGCGTTTGGAAACGGCTGTAAAGAAGCGAATAATGCATAGTGACGTTCCAGTGGCGTTGCTGTGCAGTGGCGGGTTGGATTCATCATTGATTCTGGCTATCGCATCCCAGCTCTCGATAAAGAGCCGACTGGAGGTCTTTTCAATCGAGTTACAGGGGGGCCGCAGTGCAGATGCGCTTTATGCTGGCATGATAGCGAGTCACCTAGGGGTGAAGCACACTAGAGTAGAGTTTACATTGGACGACGTTCGGAAGAGTCTTGCAGAAGTCGTACCGGTGTGTGAGACATACGATCCCAACACGATACGTGCTGCACTCCCGATGTATATTCTCGCAAGGCATATTGGACATGAGACGGCTTACAAAGTCATCTTGAGTGGCGAAGGTGCAGATGAGGTTTTTTGTGGATACAACTATTTCCGCAATGCGTGCACTGATGAACAGTTGGCAGAGGAATCGAAGCGCCTCGTTAAGAACATTCATATGTTCGACTTGCTCCGAGCTGACAGATGTTTCGCAGCATTCGGGCTCGAGCTGCGTGTACCTTTTCTTGACATCGACCTGCTAAGGTTTGCAATGTGCATCCCAGGCCGACTTCGTGGCTTTCAAAATGGCATCGAGAAGTCGCTTCTCAGGAACTCTTTCAGAGATCTTGCCGCAGTCGAGTGTGCCAGGATCATTGACAGACAGAAAGAAAGGCTCTCGGATGGCTGCGGGTTCACGTACGTCCCCCAACTGCTAACATGGCTCGGGAATGGTGCAGGTGACCTCGGCAAAAAACTGGGCGCTGAGAGGAATGTCTACCGAGCACATTTCGAGAGCCATTTCCCAAATCATTCTCACTTGATAACAGAGAGAATACTGCCTCCATGGGTTCATGAGAGACGGACAAAGAACGAACAGCAACTAATGGCGATCACGATTTGAAGAATCCTCAAGAGCAAGTTGCCATTGCCATTGAGCATTCGATCTGCAAATCAGATGCATGTGGGCACAGTTGGGGACACTACATGTTGCAACTGTTCTATCACCTTATGCTGCAGGAGCAGTGACTAAACAACTGAAGGGATTCTCGGGCCGGGCATAACATACAGAAAGATCATTACCGATTGTGAGAGCTGTGAGCGAGACCGGACATATCGTGAGCGTTGTGAGCCATAAGCAAGACCAGCCATACCTTCAATCACTA